CCTCTTCACCCCCAGAGGCAGGTGGCAGCAGGCCTCAGAGACAGCTCCCTACTTGGTTCCCCACAATCTCATTTCATTGGCTAAGTACAGACAGTCAAAAAGCCTGGGGCTGAATTGATTCGGTCCTTGCAGGTTAGTCTAAACTGCACAAATTAAATTGAATCGGAAGTGAACAGACACTTGCGTTTAATTTGGGAAATGCAGCCACATGCCTACAGTGGCTCAGGCCAGAAGCTGGGGGGGGCGCTCTCTAGCTGTATGTTCACTTCTTCCTGCTGCCCCTGAGGTCTCTAGGATTTGAAGTCCAGAATTACAGCAGCAGGACTCTGCAGAGTTCTTCATCAGTCCCCCTTCCTACTTCCAGGTGCCTCTGGGATTTGTAGCCCACAGTTGCTGCCAGCCAGCCAGTAGTAATTTTTAGTGGGGGAAGAAGTGTTTAATCCCACACTGTGGCCCCAAACCCTGGCCAGGGTTTGCTGCGGGGGGGGGGAGTCCTATCCCCATCCCTCCCAAACTGGGCTACATCCCCATCTAGGCTTGCCCCCTGCACCCCACTGTCAGCCAGCCCTCCCTGCTCCAAAGAGCACAGCCTAGTCCAGGGCTGGAAAGCATGCTGGGGGACTGTAATTTAACTTAAACCAGGAAGGTGTCTGGTACAGAAGTTTCATAAACCGGTTTGACCCAAATCAGTTAAATCTGGCACTACATTCAACCAGGTTTATCTTAAACCAGCTTCAGCTATTTTGAAATCCGTTTATGTGTACTGAGCTTCTGTTGTTAGAGGTTTAAACCAGTCTCTGATCACTTAAACTGGTTTACATGTAACTTCTGTCCTTAGCCCTTCATGTGTTTGGATGAGTGTTGTCATCAAGTCAATACTAGAGTTCTCTAGCTGTTTTGTTGCAAGTGGTAGCAGACTGGGCCTGAGGCGAATGAGTGAGGCTCAGAGAGGGAAGGTCCCAGGGAGGACAGGGGGGAAAAGGAATGGAACAATAAAAACTGGTTGTTTTGAAATGGTCTGTTGTGCTGTTTGAGATGTGGGAACTTGGGCCTGTCCTCTGTAAAGAAGAAAAAACTCCCTCTTTCCTGGGAGATGACCAAAAAAGGAGGTCTGGGGGGGTGCTACTGATCACTGGGGAAGCCAGGGACTGAGAAGAGCCAGGGTTTCAAAGCCAAAGAGTTGCCGTGTGAAACCATGCTAGCACTGACTGCTAGGGTCCTCTCTGGAGAGGGGGACCAAATAAGGTTGCTTCTTGGGGAAACCCAAGGAACAGCTTTCCTCTTCCCCCTCAAAAGTGGTGGTTAGATCCTATGCGATGCATGCCCTTCAGATCACCTCTTGATACTTCACACTAGGAGTAGCATTCTTCTATACCTTGTGGGTACATAGAAAATGTGGGAGGCATAAAAAAGTTTTATGGGTAGGAGTCTACCCAATTTGGAGGTAGGTAGTTGACTTTTGTGGACAAACTGCAGCAAGGCCTGCCCCCATGCCTTTGGAGGGGCCCTGGTGGCCCCACCCCTCACTGCTGATTTTTGGAGGCACAGGATTGCAGACAGGCAGGCCTCTCACTCAATCAACAGTGAGGAGTGGGAGGGGCATCTTGCCTTTGTGCCAGCAACCGGCTTCCTTCCCCCCTCAATCCCAGCAGGCTGCCCAGCTGCTAGGGTTGCCGGTTCCCACGGGGGGAGCTAGCACCTTTTTATTTTTAGTAAGCCCACACACACACCATGGATTTAGCAGACATTGCTGCCCAATTGTTGTGATTTCTGCAAAATCATGACTTGAGCAGGCCCCTCGCTTTGGGAATGTCCAAAACTTAAGTGGTGCACACTTCCTTTCTTGCTCTGGTCTATTGACATGTACACAGATTCCCATACTTATAACAGGAACACCTTTGTGCCCATAAGGCAAAATGCCTTGCATGTGTGCATGGGGGTGTTCAGGGGTCCAGACTGGTTTGTGCATCTAGCCTCCCACTGGGGGGGGGGAGCTATGCCCTGCCATCCCCATATATGCAGTAGTACTTTTCATACAGGAGTCTGTACAGAGCCTGAAAAATCTCAGGAGCCCCTGAAATGCACACATGGAGACAGACAGTACCTGTGTAGGTGTCCAAAGTTTAGCTGGGGTCAAAAAGGGCAATATGGACAAGTAGACTAAATGGGCATTCTACTGTCAGGTGGGTGCCTACATCTCTGGGTGACCAAACTGCTTCCCCACCCCTCCCTGTTTAGATGCAATTGTTCTGGATGTCTACAGACAGAATCCAGCCAGCAGTCCTCAGAGGCCCATCTTCAGTCCCAGGCTTTCCTTTAAAAGGGCTTGCATGCAAGCTGTCCACTTCTGGCAAAGCAGGGTCCATGATGGAGGGAACAGAGCTAGTGCAGAGGAGGGTCAGACACTGATGTGCACACCAGCCTCTCTTTCTTTCTTCCCCCACCCCCCGGATGCTGCTGACCACAGATGAGTTTGTGGCCCAGTACCTGAGGGAGCTGAGCAGGGAAAGGCTAAGACCCCCTGTCCCCACCACTGAGTGTGACCACTTGTAGGAGAATTATAGTACTGCATCAGCTGCAGGGGTGGAGAAGAGGGGCGTGCTGCATGCCCTACCTCTAGAGGAGAGGGGTGGATCCCAGGGCCCCATCTCTGAAGCGTATGGCTGGTGTAGTGTGGGGCCTCTGGCCTGCCTGAAATCAGACAGCCTTGTTTTAATCCTAGCTGCAGTTAATATCTGCGTTGCCTGGCCAGGATAGCATCAGGTGCTGGATGAAGAACAGCTGATAGAAATAATGCAGATGACCAAAAAAAAAAAACCATTGCAGCCACAATCATCTGTTTAGCTCATACCCATAGCTGGTTTGTTCAGTGTGAACTGTAGTGGGATGTTTGTATTCATTTCTTATGTTTATACTCTCATGCAGTAGCACCCACAGTGCCTCCTACCATTTCCAGTTTACTAGGAGACTCAATCTCATCTTGGTAGACCATGCAGGGGCCTCAGTTATTCATGCCATTGTTGTCTCCTGGTTAGGCTTTAGCAGTGCACTAGACCTTCCTCTCTTAAGAAACTCTAACTAGTTTGTAATGCTGTGGGGCATCTCCTTTGCAGTACATGCTCCTACAAGCATGCCACCCCCATCTTCAGATGCTGATACTGGCTTCTCAAATACTGAATCAAGTTTGAAGCCTATCTTATCCACCTGGCTTTCTCTGGCCTGGGATCAGGGTTTCTAGAATAGAAGAGTCTAAAGATCACAGTCAACAGCACTACCATTGGCATAGTATAGCTCTCTATGGTAAGGGTAAAGCTCTCTGGAGTCAGTCTGAGACTGCAGAATAGGCTCCCCATAAGCAAGACCCACCTTAGACCTCAACACTTTGTGCCCCATGTACTTCTCTAAGTTGTATCTTTTAACATGAGCACAGCAATGTGCATTAAAAAAACCAAACAAACAAAGCCCCAAAAAGCCCTTTCTTTTCCTCCCCACCCAAAAGCCCTACTACACTGCTCTGAGTCTGTGGAAGTGAGAGATCAAATCATACGATAAATATCAATCAAGCTGCTCAATACTCTAGTACAGTGGTGCCCAACTTGACTGGCCCACAAGTGCAGGACCCTATCATCTGGCCCATAGGGCTGAAATATGGCAGCAGCATTAATTGCTGTAGCCCCTGAAGTCACAGCAGCAGCTGCTGCTCCTTCCCCCCTCAAATTTCCAGCCCAGTGGGCCAGATGATACTGCTCTGTATTATAGATCTTGCCCAAGGGGCTCTCTCCAAAAGCTATAGCAATTAAAGCTGCCACCACTTACTACACCATCAAATGGCCTATGGGGAGTCCCATAAGCTGGAGGGGACAGGTTTGTGGGCTGAATCCAGTCTGCAGACTAGACCTTGATCACCCCTGCTCTAGTGGAAGGTATTCAATTGCTGTAGCATTGTAGCTGATCCAAGCAGGAGCCTGGGCTTTGAACTGTGTGGCCCTGGGCAGGTTCCCTAAGCTGAGCGCTCTCCTTAGTACCATGTACCTGGGACATGCCCTTGCTTTTATGATTTCTTGTTTTGAGAATTTTTCACATTCCAATCCAAATCAGCCAAATCAATTCCAAATCCATGAGTCAGTCAAGAACCGTAAGTGTCCCTACTGTCGGCAAACGTATTATTTCCATCCTAGGCTACCAGCGTGCCTGTCTGTGCCATGCTTTGAACTGGCCTGGTCTCAGCTGCATGCCTCGTCTTCAGGAACCCCATCCTATTCATCAGGGTGACACGTCCCTTCTCAGAGACCTGCCATGGCTTCTGCTCAGAGCACTAAAAGGAGGTCACGCAGTCACTCAGGCCCCAGGCCCAAATGAGACCACATGCACACTAGAAAGCCCACCCTGCACACAGATGTGGCGTAGGCAGCTGTTGCACAGAAAGCTGGTGCCCTGTGGCTCCTCCATGGCCGTCCTGTGGAAGGGGCACGGCTGTGCCAACAGCAAGGCCAACTGCATGGTGCTGACAGAGTGGGAGCACTTGGTCCCACAGCCATGCACCCCGCCACATGGCACAGGACTGCAGAGGAGCCATGTTCCCTCCCTCAAGCCACCGGGCCAGGAAATGCTGACAGCCCGTCCACCGGCTCGGACACTCGTGGGGTATTGGGGTACACGTGGGCCTGAGGCGGGTACAGCTCAGGAGGGGCTCTCCTCCCTGTGCCGGTCTGGCAGCAGAGCCAGAGAATGGGAGGTGGCAGGGAGAGGCAGCCGGGCCTGGTAGTCTGAAATCAATCAGCGGGCAGGGGAAGCAGTGGGGGGGGCGGGCACGGGCACACCCCGAGAGCGCTGGTGCCGCTCCTGACCGGCTATCTTTCTGAGATATAACAGTTATATACATAAGATCTCTCTCGCCTTAACAAACGTTGAGGGAGGGAACAAGCACCAGCCGCCCTCACTGGGCCTCCCGCTGTACCCAGTGCCACCCCTCCCCACTCCGGCCGCTACGAGCGCGCATGCGCACAGCGCCAGACCGGGCAACGGAGCGCCGAGCGCTTCTCCTGCCGTGTCCCCGCCCAGGTGCGTGGATCGAGCGCCGAGCGGCGGAAGATGTCGGAGAAACTGCAGAAGAGGTGAGACCAGCAGCCACCCCCGCCTCCCGTCATGGCCTGTGCGCGCAGCCCCCGCGATTGGCACCTCCCTGGGCAGCAGCTGCCCGGCTCCGGGGGGCGCGGCGGGCGGCAGCCGGAGCTCCCTCTGCCGCGGCAGAGACTCCCGGGGCGGGGCGGGGCGGGGCGGCCTGGCCTTGGCTCGTGCCCCGCCGCTGGCGCTGGCAGCTTGAGGAGAATCGGCTACCACCCTCCCCCCGGCCGCGGGCTTCCACCTTGGCTTTAAAAAGCAGTCTTTTAATCACCTTTAACCTCACGTTTTTGTCGCAGCGTGAAAATTGCTCCCGGCGCCGTGGTCTGTGTGGAAAGTGAGATCCGGGGAGATGTAACTATTGGTAAGAGGAGGCGTCACACCTGCCCTGTTCTTTTTCCCCTGGTGAGCAGCAAATGCTGCCTCTTTGAATTGCAGTATCTGCTCCAAGACTGTGGCCCACCCACCCTGGCAGCACCTCTCCCCCAGCGACCCACTCCTTGGAACCAGCGAGGCCTCTGTAATTAGTGTCCCGCCAGAAGAGAAGGCTGGTCCCCTACGTCTTCCCTTGAAATCGCTGCTTGTCAGCCGCCCCAAGGACCCAGCTGAAATGCACGCGTTCTTGCTTAGTAGGAGTTTGCCAGCGCCTTAGATATGAGATCAGAGAGCAGCCCCTTACAATGCCTTTACGGTTTGAGCAGTTCAGGGCCTTACCAAAGTCATTACAGTTGCAGATAAGTTTAGATCAGAGGGCTACTTAGAAAGACAAGAAACAAGCTTCAAACAGTGGCCCTGTACAACGATACAGGCATGAATGGCTACATTGATGTCAGTATGTATGCAAAACTGCACCTGAAAGCTTTCTGCAGGAATGACAGCTACATTGCTGTTCTTCATATCGCAGTATAAGATTTAGTGTAAACAACCTGGAGAAATGTGGGCTAGATAAAACTCGTATAAGATAGATCGATAACTGACTCAGTAGCCACAAGCAAAGAGTAATTATTAACAGGTCCATGTCAGAATGGCAGCAGGTCTTGTGTGGAGTCTGGTAGGTGTCTGTCCTTGGCCCAGTGTTATTCACTGTGTTGATTAACAATTTGGATTCTGGCGTAGGAAACTTTCTTGAGTAAGATTGCAGACAACACAAAACTAGGAAGGATTGCGAGCATGTTGCAAGGTGTGAGCACAATTCAGAAGGTTCTTGACAGATTGCAAAGCTGGGCTAGAGCTAACATGATGGAAGTTCAGTGTGGACAAGTGCAAGGTGCTGCACCTCAGGAAGACTAATCAAAAACACAAATACATAATGGTGGACACCAGGCTAAATGGCAGCTTGGAAAAAGAAATTGGGAGTCTGCTGCACAAAAGACACAGGAGGTGATAGTGCCTCTCTGCTCAGCACTGGTTAGGCCACATCTGGAGGACTGGTCTCCACATCTTTAAAAGGACATGGAAATGTTAGAGAGCATCTAAAGGCAGGCAACAAAGGTGATCAGAAGCTTGGAATGCAAGTCATGCGAGGACAGGCTGAAGGAGGTAGGTCTGTTCAGCTTATGGAAAAAGGCACTTAAGAGGGGACATGATAGCAGTCTTCAAATACTTGAAGGGTGACCGTAAAAAACAGGGAAAGCACCTTTTCTCTCTTGCTGTAGAAATGAGGGTGTGGACCAAGGGCTTGAAGTTGGAGCAAAGTAGGTTTAGATTAGATATCTGGAAAAACATCTTCACTGTTAGAACAGTGAGGCAGTGGAGCAGACTGGCTAGGGAAGTTGTGAACTCTCCATCACTGGAGGTGTTCAAGAAGAGGTTTGACAGCCACTGGTCAGGGATGATTTCGGCATAGTCATATCTTTGTTCTGCCATAGTTATTTCCCATGCTTTTGGGCTTTGCTGGTTACCCCCACACTCCACCCCTACCCCTCTTTCTGCTACATGTATCAAGGTATTTTTAAGCCTTCCCAGAGGCAGTGGGTGTTGGCTATAGCCAAGGCTGGGGACTTTGACTGGGGTGTGCCAGTGCTTATGCTGGGATCAAAGCTGGAGGTTCCTGCCTCGGGGGAGCGTTGCACCTCTGCTCAGGGTCAGACCAATTGCCCTATTTGGGACCAGGAAGGAATTTTACCCCATAGTCAGGTTGGCATGGACTGTGGGGGGTTTAGCCTTCCTCTAGCGGTGGGGGTGGCCCTATACCTGGGATCTCTTGAGTATATACTGACATTTCATAGAAGCAGGATGTTGGTTCCTGTACTTCCCCTGCTTTACCTGTGGCAGGTTAGGGTATTAAGTCTGTGTTGCATCAAGGTTGAGGGCAGTTTTATGTAGAGTTTAGATTATGGTTTTGATACGGATGATCCTGCCTTAAGCAGGGGATTGGACTAAATGACTTCTGGAGGTTCCATCCAGACCTCCTTCTCTATGATAATCCCGCTAAAAATATTTCCCTACCAGAAATTAAGTTTGCAGGCATAGATCAGTGATGTGAGGGAAGGCTGCCTTTCACAAATTTTAGATTTTTTTTTTTTTTTTAAAGATTGGAAACCTAAGAAATGCCAAGGGAGGTTTGTACTTGCCAAACAAGAACTCAGCTAGCTGAACACTGCCCCTGTGAAATGTTAGGCTGCCTGTTTTGCATGCAGAGTATCACAAACCTGGACTGCAGAGCATTGCTTTTATAATTACTATGCACCCATTTCACAAGATTACAGATGCTGGTTAAAGTAAAGGCCAGAATCATGTTAGGAGACATTCCAGCTCTATATCTAGTGGTCTTTGGAATCATTAGAGTCAGTTCCTTAAAGTAGCAGCAGTTGGGACAAGGTCCCTATGAAAAGGTATTGTCTTCAGTATGATTTTCCCATGTGAGATCTTCTCTGGTAAGTACCTCATTGTATTCCCACAGGACCTAGGACAGTGATTCATCCAAAAGCACGGATCATTGCAGAAGCAGGACCAATAGTGATTGGTGAAGGCAACCTAATAGAAGAGCAAGCACTTATCATAAATGGGTTAGTAAGCATCTGTTACACTACTGTTTAAGGTGCACACATCTTCACAACAGGATATACTCGGAGAGAATGATGAGTATCTATCTAATTTAATCATTGATAGTCTGGGCAACAAGAATAAGGCCTCTTTAAACACAGCAGATAAACTTCACTCTTTGCTGTATATAGTGCCCCTTCAGAACAGGGGAAGTACTTAGGAAGCTTCATGCATCTCTCCAGGTGTTGTACCTGTTCTCTCAAACAGGCATCTTACATGAGCATTATTATTCATATACTTTTTTTTCTGTATGTAGGCCTGCCACAGCTTTGCACAGCTGCGCAATGGGCTGGCTGGGACTGGATAAAATTCATGACTCAAATTCTCTCAGTGCCATACAGCTTTTCTTTTCAAGCTCAGATTTGTCCTACTTCTCAAACACAGCCATGTATAAAAAATCCATGACTACTCAAATGTGTGGAACATTTGATCTGAAAAGTCTAAAGAGAAGGGAACTGTCCTTACCACATTAGAAAAGTAACTGTAAAACATTGTTTCTAGAAAAAGATTCCCTGTAAATAGCAGCTGTTTAATGATAAAAAATGAAGTACCCAGCAAGAAAGGCTATAAGGAATTAGAAAACAGCCTTACTTAAATTAGTGCAGCATTTGCTTTGTTTTCCCTCATGTTCTGTCTAGAGAATATGGTTCAGCCTTGACTAACCAGCAGAAGATTGTTAGTGAAAAATCCATGATCTATCAAATTCCCACTTTTCCTGTATTTCTTTGGAGTAACTCCTTCCTCAAAAATCTTGTATCCTCAGCATTGTTGCATTAAGCTCTTGCATGAGAATTAGAAGTAAAACTGACTGCTCTCTTCATTGCCCCAGTCTGGAAGTATGTAAAAGTAAACACATAGCATTAATGTTTAAATCTGAAATCTAAAAGATTTGAGCAAAGAGTAGGTGTTCTTTTTTCACTTTTTAGAGGGGCAGTGCTCTTTTAATGTCAAATTCTGAAAACTTTTTTTTAATACTCCTACAGATTTCCTGAAAATATCACACCAGACACCGAAGGAATGGAACCAAAACCAATGGTCATTGGCACCAATAATGTTTTTGAAGTTGGTTGCTGTATCCTTGTTAAACAGTATTATCAAATTTTCATATTCTGTATTTTCAAAGCATTGTACAAATACTTACTTAAATAGCTGCCTTTAAGAAAGCTAAATCTTATTCTAATTTTACAGAAGAGGAAACAGAAACAGAAGCAAGTTAGGTCATAGACGAAGACTGCATGGGAGAATTCTAATTGGAATATGGGACTTTTTGTCCCTTCCTCAATTCTTGCTGCCTCTCATATAAATTAATGTATTTGGTATTTCTGCTCAAAGGTGCAGAGTGCTGTATTTTTGTATACCTCCTCAAATAAGACATGTGCCTTGTTTTTTGGAAGGCAGAATATAAAAAAAATTCCAGAGTCCTAGCCAACAGCATACAGCAGCTTGCTCAGTCCTACCCTTCTTGCTAGTTGTCTCAATAAATAAGGCCATGTTTCTACTCCTGTATGCTTCTATTCCAGCAAAGAAAATCAGCTTCCCTGCTTAAGACAAGCTTCCTGATTTGGGGTGGAAGGGGAGATACATGTGGTAGTCAAGTAAATAGGGTATTTATATTCAGTCCTTATGTATTTTCTACAACAGCCTGATACAGGGGAAGAATTGCAAGGAAAACAAACATAAGAACAGTTGAAACTTTGGCTGTAAACTGACTGCACTTGCCTTGTTGAAAATTCAAGAGGTTCTCTTTTTCTAATCCAAAGAGGTTGACACACTGCTTCAATTCCAGACAAAAGTTAGTCCTTTAAAGACTCAATTTTTTTTTTAATTACTTAGGGATTTTGTAGCCCTTAAGGATCCTGACAGCATAAAATATCTTTTGAGATTGGTTGTGACTAAGGAAAAAAAGACATTTTATAGTACGGGCAGACCTTGACGTATGACTTTGAGTTTTGACACCCCTTTTGATGTTCCGACATGGGTTTCATCTTTATGATGGCCGATACTGCATGCAGCTGGTAAGTGGTGCAAGGGAAGAGAGGTGGGGGGCAGATAAATGCCCCCTATCATGAGGGAGGGACTGGGGCTGGGACCGGGGCTAGGGCCAGTGCTGCCCAGCCAGGGGTGGGCGTGGTGGGTGGGGGCGGCAGCAGCTCCCAGTGTTGCATGCTGCTTGTTTGGTGGCTTAACTGGCGGTTCCCACCACCTCCACTGCCACTGGTTTTGGGGGGCATGCCACCCCAGATCTATGCGGGATGCAGGG